AAATTCACTGAGTAGCGACCTTCTGTGGCATTTTGCTGGCTGTAAGAGTTCTGAAGGATGAGGAAGACCATCTCCCCACTGCTGGGCTGCTTGTACCAGAGGAGACCATAACTTGTCTCACTGGTGTCATAGGAGCAGAGCAGGCTCACAGCCTCCTTCTCCTGCACCCACATGGCTGGCTGGGCCTGAGTCACCTTCTGGGCAAAACTGGATTCTGAAGGGAAAAGGACAAAAAGTTGAGGGAAAAGTGGTGTCGGACAAAAAAGTGTATTTTTTTCACTCTGCTAACCCTCCCTCCCTCAGTCCCTTAAGACTACCCTCTCCCCCAGTCCCTAAGTCACAATGGAGGCCCCTTCTCACAGGCATCATCCTTACCCAGACACATTGATGCCATGAGCAGCTTCAGCAGCCTGGGCAGCACCATATTTGCCTTCTTCCTTCAGAAGAAATTCTTCTTTGACTTCAGGGCTCTGCACTGGGAAGGGAGCCTGACAGGGTGAGAGAGGAACCACTGGGCTTCAAGCTGCTGCTGCCTCTGAAAAGGAAACAGAGGCTTCCTGGTTCAGCAAGGAAATCATGTCAAACTGCTGTGTGTGTGACTGGCAATCTCACCAACCCAGACTCCCTTCTTAATTTAACAACCATTGAACCTGCAGCCTAGGTATCCGTCAATGAATGGATAAAGAAAATGTGGTCTATATACATATACGCAGTGGAGTCTTATTCAGCCATAAAGAAAAATGAAATTATGTCATTTGCAGGAAAAAATAGATGGAACTTGAGAACATTTAGTAAGTGAAATAAGCCAGACTCAAAGTCAAGAGCCACATGTTTTCCCTCATATGTGGAAGCTGGAGAGGAAAAAAGAAAAGACAGGTGAGGGGTAGGGACCTGTGAAAATCAAAGGGAGATTAGTCAAGGAAAGGGACCAGGGGGTGGGACGAGGGGAGGGAAGATGGAAGAGCTAGGGAATGATATTGGTCAAATTATGTTGGGGCTGGGGTTGTGACTCAAGCAGTAGCGCTCGCCTGGCATGCGTGCAGCCCAGGTTCGATCCTCAGCACCACATACAAACAAAGATGTTGTGTCCACCAAAAAATTAAAGAATAAGTATTAGAAAAATTCTTTCTTGCTCTCTCTTTAAAAAAAAAATATGTTATATTGTGCACATGTCATCCCTACCTTGTGATACAGTAGCCAAAGCTTATCCCCTTCTCAAAATAATGTCACTCTTGTCTAGATTGGTTGAAGCATCTTCAGATCTTATACTGGAATCTCCATTAAATCTGATACCACATACAGTATAACTGTTCTGCTCTCTACAAACAGCAATATTTTTCTACCAGGTGATCAAATAATTATTAGATATTATAATTTATCCTCATAGCATTTCAATTCCATTATACTTCTCACTCAAGGGAAGGTCACAACTGCACTACTGTCAGTCAAGAAGTATCCATTTCCACAATCTATATTTTGACACTCTCCTGCCAAATTTTGGATGGTGATCATTCCAGGTAAGTTACACAATAACCATTCAAGTCTCAATAATAAAATCTAATACTCCTTGAGCAGAAGCAAAATTAATTCTTGTAGCTCAATTGTGACTTCCTCTTGGACATGTAAAAATATAAAAAGTAATATTATAGTTAATATGTTTTAATATAGTTCAAAACTTCCAAATACTATGAAGATTGAGTTTTTTAATTATTGTAACCTTTGCTTAACCTTATGTCTCTTATGTATAAGAATTAAAGCTGAACAACAAATGCATGTGTTATTTCATGTGTTCATGTAACTAAAAAAGAAATTATTGTTGTGAAGACAGTGTCCCAAAGTATTAAAAAAAAAAAAACCTACAGAATCTGTGGATGGGGGCAGGGAAGGGGACAGTAAACACTTATGCAAATAATTATGCTAAATTAAATATGCCTTTCTGACTGAAGTCCTTATGCAAGAATCTCTTATACAACATAAAGAAAGATCCATGGAAATGTTCTAAATTTTTTTTATAGATTTTTTTTAAAGAGAGAGTGAGAGAGGAGAGAAAGAGAGAGAGAGAGAGAGAGAGA